CTTCTAAATGCAGAGCTTGCAATTGTCGTCTCTCATGGACAGTATTGACTTCTGACAGCAAGGTGAGACAGTATGCATGGAGTATTGCCAACCAAGGACGCTCACTTGATCCTTGATATCCATAGATTTTATTGGAGCTCTGGCACTTAGATACAGTTGACTGCTGCACGGCTTACCTCAGCCCCCAACCCCATGAGAGGTAAACTGATAACACATGACCCTAAGCCCCATGGCAAATCACATTGTTAGAAATCTAGTGTGACCCCAGATACCAGGTGTGACATTTCAAGGCCTTGAGTTTACTTCTCAGGAGCCAAGGACAAAGGCCAGACTTTTCTTTTTGCAAAATTAAGTTCTTTACTCCACAGGAGCCACTGAAACTGCTTTTTTTTCTAGCCATTTAATTGTCACATTGGAAATAGAGTTTGTATATATATTTATTCCTGCTCAAATGAAGTAATATTTCTACATTAAGGTATTTTTACTCTTTAACTTTAGGTATTATAAGTTCTGTTTTTGCTTTATGTTTTATGCATTCTTTTTTGCTTTTGCTTTTTAACTCTAGAATTAAGCAGCCACCATGTCGAGCAAAAAGGCAAAAACCAAGACCACCAAGAAGCGCCCCCAGCGCGCAACATCCAATGTGTTCGCCATGTTTGACCAGTCACAGATTCAGGAGTTTAAAGAGGCCTTCAACATGATTGATCAGAACAGAGATGGTTTCATTGACAAGGAAGATTTGCATGATATGCTCGCTTCTCTAGGTAGACTTTTATATTCTTAATATGTCTGATTTCAAAAAATAATAATTCAGCATTCTGTGAATCATTTTCTGTGTGATGTCCAAATATCCCTGCCCTGTCTCCAGAGCCTACTGAGAAATGCCTGGATGGGAGGTGGCATGTTGGGATTTGGCCAGTCATAAGAGGATGAGCCTGTAGGGTTGGGAACCTGTCAGGTACTTGGCCAGGCAGGCCTCAGTTCCTCTCAGCTCAGTACTATAGGTCTAGGTGAACGGCCAGGAGATGGGTAGGTGGAAAAATATTGAAATTTATAACAAAATGTGTGACTAATAATATAGCCAGTTAGTAATAAATTGAGAACAGTTTATAGGTAGGAAGTAACAATAATAAATGACGATAGTCTCAGGAGGAAGGGCATTGCTACTGGAAAAGGGAACACAGGAAAGGGGACTTTCATAATTTTATAAATTTTTTTATAACTAAAGAAAAGAAAATTTTCTTTAGTTATAAAAAAATAGAAAAGATAAATGATTTAAAGTATTATAGCCTGGCAGGCGTGGCTCAGTGGTTGAGCATCGACCTGTGAACCAGGAGGTCCAGTTAAATTCCTGGTCAGGGGCACATACCTGGGTTACAGGTTTGACCCCAGTAGGGGGTGTGCAAGAGGCAGCTGATCAATGATTCTCATCAATGTTTTTAACTCTCTATCCCTCTCTCTTTCTCTCTGTAAAAAATCAATAAAATATATTATAAAAAAAAGAATCTAGAGATTAATTTTGGGCTAATCTTTGTTGAGTAGGTATGAGTGAAGGTTGTAAAGCAGCAAGACAGATACCGACTTGACATTTAAATTTCACCCAGATTCCCAGGATTAAAACTTTACATACCGTATGAACCATAATTCTAGATTTGACTATCAGTAAGTGCATTTGGATGTAATATTGAGGTGCCTCTTTAGATATGAATATCTAACTTACAGATGTCCTTTTTATTGAGAATCATACAAACTTAGTGTTAGAAGGAACCTTTCAGGTACCAAATCTAATGGGTCCATTTTACAGATTTAAAAAGTAAACCCTGGACACCTGCCACTTTCTCCCAGGTCACACAGCCAGCAGCAGAACTGAAATGCAAACCACATTTCCAGACCTTCTATTCTACTATTCCTTCTAGACCACTATTCCATTCATTGTTACTCCTACCTTATGTGGCCATTCCAGGGGAATTACTCCAAACTTTGAGAGAAGGGTAGGGCACTTCCCTCATTACTGCACTAGGGAGGGAGAATGCTCTCAGTTGGAACCAAGACTAAGATTTCCATTATGAACAGTACTAAACAAGAATGCAATTTAGTGACATGAATCCACAGCATTTGGCAGTGTGTGTGGCAATCAGTTTGTAACATTGTTCAAAATAATCTCCCAATTTTAAACCAACCTAATAGTTTTCACTTAAATGACCAACAAATAAAATTTTAAAGCTTACCAATTCATGGGCAACTGTACCATAATTGGAAATAAGGATATTTATATATATATTTTTAATAATTGGTATTGAAATGCCCTGATGGCCTTTTATGTTATCAACATTCAAAATGAATAACATGGCATTACCGGACCGTAGTTTTAGTGTTTGTTTTGTTTAAAATAGTGAAAGAAAAGTTATAGAAAGTATCAATAAATGACCAACATTCAACCTGAGCCCTTTTTTATAATGGTGTATCAGAGATTTTTTATGATGTCATAAGTTGTCTTTTAAAATGGCCTTAATGCGATTAATTGAAAAATTAGTTTTATCTGAGGATGATCTACCTTCTTAAATGTGTTGGGGAGAATAACAGAGCAATTATTTGTTGGAATTAGATCTTTGTCCTAAAATGTTAAAATGTGAACCCTTATAGGAAAGAATCCAACAGATGCATACCTAGATGCCATGATGAACGAGGCTCCGGGCCCCATAAATTTCACCATGTTCCTCACGATGTTTGGCGAGAAGCTGAATGGCACAGATCCCGAAGATGTCATCAGAAATGCTTTCGCTTGCTTTGATGAAGAAGCAACTGGTGGGTGCTCTGTGTTTATGTCCTTATTCCAGGCTGTTTGAAACGTTTTTTAGAAAATGAAAAATGTAGTTGCCCAGCCAGTATTGCTCAGTGGTTGTGTGTTGACTTATGAAACCGGAGGTCAAGGTTCGATTCCTGGTCAGGGCATATGCATGGGTTGCAGGCTCAATCCCCTAGTGTGGGGTGTGCAGGAGGCAGCCGATCAGTGATTCTCTCTCTCTCTTCCTCTTTGACATTAATAAAAATATTTTTTTAAAAAAGAAGAAAAAAATTAGTAATATATACATTTTTAAAAATGAATAAAGGGAAACTATTATTTACAATGGTATAACTGAGAATGGCTAGGACACAGATATATGTAGGTCATAAAGCTACAGAATTTGTGGTGTTACTCTTTAAATTTGGATCTGAGCTTCCTGAAAGCCAAAGAGGATGTCTGTGAAATAGTAGTTCTTAAATAATAAAAGCAACTTCTTTAAGAGACTATAAATCACACCAGAAAGTATACTATCATGTGCCACCTAACAGCTGCTTCAATCAAGGACCAATAGCACAGTAGTGGTGTTCACACAAGATTATAATGGAGCTGAAAAATTCCTGTTACCCTAGTGATATCATAGCCATTATAACATCAGAGTACACCCATTACTTACCTGTTTGTGGTGAGGCCGGTATATACAAACCTCCTGCACTGCCAGTTGTATAAAAGTATAGCACATACAATTATGTACAGTACAGAATACTGAGAATGACTGTTACTACCATGTTTCCCTAAAAATAAGACATCCTCTGAAAATAAGACCTACGTACAGGTTTCCTTCTGAGTGAAATATAAGGCATCCTCCTGAAAATAAGGCCCCCCTAGGCTCTGTCTCAGAATGCTATTGCTAAACATGAGAGATTTGGTCCACTGATTCTGAAAGAAATGGAGTCACAAGAAATTCACCAGGAAATTCAGGAATTAGATTGTTATGATGATGTTCCAGAAGATGATGATATGATTGTCATTGAATAAATGAGTAAATTCTTGATACTGTAGGATTCACAGTTTGTCTGGTTTGTGTTGACAACTACTGTACCGTATAGAGGTAATAAACTTCCTTTATTTTCATTTAACAATAAATGTGTACTGTATTCTTCTTCATGGAAAAATAAGACATCCCCTGAAAATAAGACCTAGCGCATCTTTGGGAGCAAAAATTAATATAAGGCACTAACTTATTTTCGGGGAAACAGGGTAGTATATGTATTTATTATACTACTTTCTTTTAAATTTTTATTAATTGATTATATATAGAGAGAAATATTGATTTATTCCACTTACTTATGCATTTATTGGTTAATTCTTGTATGTATCCTGACTGGGGATTGAACCTTCAACCTTGTATCAGGATGATGCTCTAGCCAACTAAGCTGTCTGGCCAGGGCTATATTACACTTTTTATTGTTATTTTAGAGTGTACTCCTACTTTTAAGAAAAAAGTTTTCTATAAAGCAGTATGCTGTATGTTAGACCAGCAGCAGCCTCATACATCTCCTGTTTGTTGCATCCCTTCATTGCATCTTGTGCTTGATTTAATCTTATATTTGTACAGGTTTATAGCCTGGAACAACAGGCTATACCTATAGCTAGGTATATAGTAGGCTATAACATCTAGGTTTGTATAAGTACACATGATTTTCGTATATCAATGAAATATCCTAATGGTGCATTTCTCAGAATGTATCCATTAAGCAGCATATGATTATAGTTAACAAACTTGAGCTATTAAAATTTTAGGGTTTTTTCCCCCCCTTCTCATTTTGAAGTATGTAAAGCCTAGCTATTCACTTTTCTTACTTCTCTCATTTTCATCTTTTCTTCTATATTAACCCTACATTTGAACTCAGTACCCACATCACCTCCTCAGATGTACCTTGCACCCTATTACTGCTTCCCCATTTCTGTCAACGATGTACCATCATTCATGCATATACTCTGTTAACTAAACTTTTTAAATGATTTAATGTAATATTGTAAATAACTCTAAAAGTAAGAGGAAAACATAATATATAGTTACATAATGTCTTAGTTCACTATTTTGTTTGTTTAAATATGTATGTTCTGAAATATTTTGTAAGATTGACCTAGTGTAGAAATTAACCATTAAAGTTCCAGGAATTATTCATGATTCCCTTCCTTCTATGTCTTCCAGGCACCATTCAGGAAGATTACCTGAGAGAGCTGCTGACAACAATGGGAGATCGGTTTACAGATGAGGAAGTGGATGAGCTGTACAGAGAAGCGCCCATTGACAAAAAGGGAAACTTCAATTACATCGAGTTCACACGCATCCTTAAACATGGAGCAAAAGATAAAGATGACTGAAAGAACTTTAGCTAACACCTTCCAATTACTTTGTCTTACTCTGTTTTATTTCCTCGACACTCTCCCCCATCCTCACAGGCCTGTTGCATGCAACTTAGTTCCACAGCTTTGCCTCTTTTTTTTTTTTTTTTTTTTTTTCTGATGTATTTATTCCAGACTTTTCTGTCACTTAGCACTTGTATAATCAGACTGCAAATGGGGATAAGGATGTAAATTGTGTTGAAAAAGAGTTTGCAAATAAAAATCAACCAATGTGAAAGCCCAGGAAAATATATTTGGTATTTCTAGTTTTGCTGGATTTTTACATTTTTATATAATAAAAATGCTATTTTGAAATAAAGATTATGCTGACTCAAATGAAGTATAATGAAAAGTTAAGTGATAGGTGGGAGTAGTCCTATTTTCGTATTTTCAACTTTATGTATTTTAGATTTCATGGTTAACTGATTTTTTCATGTATATGGGACAGTGTTCTTTAGAACTTTTAAGGATAGCCCTGCCAGTGGCTCAGCAGTCAAATTAACATCATAATGCAATAAAAACTAGTTAGCCTTTTTTTTTCTTCATTTATTACACTTCCAAGAAGTCAGATGTTTAAACTACTAAATTATAAATATAGAATGTATCTGAGAAAACACTCAACATTTCATTGATCTAAGAGTCTAAAAAGATGAGGCGAAAAACTGGGAAAAAAATCCTTTTATTGTGTGTGTAGTATTGCACATGGACGATTTTAATTGAATCTTCCCAACAACCTTGTGAGATGGATTTCTACTAGCCTCGTACTCATGGTGAGGGAACTGAGCTCCGAGTAGTTGAGTGAGTGATCAGAGTCACTGGTAGGAAGTGCGAGTTGGAATTCCAACCTGGGATGCCTAACCCCATAGCATAGAGTACCATTTCTATGAAAAGCCCAAATGCCTGAAAGATCAAGATATTTCCATTACTTTCTAACAAAATTGTGCAATTTATTGAAATTTAAAATAATCTGTTTTGGAAATTGATTTTGTGAACAGAATTTCAGAATTCTATCCAGGTAAAAAACAGAAGATTATAATGAATTCAATATTTGAAGGCAAACCCTGTGGTGTAAACTATAGGAAGGACCGACAAACAGATAAGGCCGTTGTGAGTTTGTGTGACATCCTCAAGGTGCCAAGCAATATCACAAACGGAGAAACCTAACAAAAGTGGGGAGTGGGGTAAAGTTTCCAATGTAGTTTTAACATCTATTCCCTCACTTAAAGGTGTTCTTTTGGTATAATGTCTGCTTAAAATTACATATTGTTTAATGTTTGTGCGTTAGGCAAATCCTGGTCACTTGCTGCCGTCACTCAGTTTTTTTCTAGGCTTTCTTTTCATCTTTAAGATGAGAGCAGTTCCACTCTTGTGGTTATAACGTATAGTGTTTCACAGTTCATAAGAGCTTTCATATTTGTTATCCAACCCTCACAGCCTAAAAGGTTAATAGGGGAGGTGGTATTCCTGATTCTTTTATGAGGCTGAAGTTTAGAGAAACTGAAGCATCTGTTGAAAGTACCACAAGTACAAGAATCCACATCTGGTTTTGGCTGGGCGGGTAGCCCAGTTGGTTGGATGTCATTCCATATACCAATAAGGTCACAGGTTCAATCTCTGGTCAGGGCATTGCAGGAATCAACCAATGAATGTATAGATGGGTGGAACAACTCTCTCCCTTCCTCTCAAATTTTTTTTAAAAATCCACATATAGCTACCTTTTCTACTCACCATGCAGTGTCAAAAGCAGTGATAACTATGTTTAAGGAAAGGGAGAAATAGACAGTGATAATCTTGATCTTGAATAAATCATTCACCTGTTTTGTGCCAGAAACTGTTTTAAGTGTTGGTGATAAACTACTGAGGAGTGGGGGAGGGGAGGGGAGGGAGAACAAACAAGGATGCTGCACCCCCTGGGCTCACATTCTCTAGTGAGAGACAGGCTTGCATTGAAGTCATATTGAAGTACTATGGGACAGGGCCTCAGGTGGGATGGGTCCTTTCAAGGCACATGTGCCAGTGCCAGGAGCATTAGGACATAAGAGGAAAATATAGGGATGGTATTTGCTGTGTAGTCTTAAGTGGGAAATCAGGGTTTTGGGCAGGGAAGAAGCATGAAAACTCAACCTTGCTGCTTTGTATGGAACGGAGGGGCAAGAGCAGATAAAAGTGAGAAGGCTCCCTATTAGGAAGCTCTCACTGTCCAGGCAAGATATGAGGGCTGCGGGCAATGGTGGAGGAAGTGGCTGTAGCATGCCTCTCCCTTCCTATTTCCTCCATTCCAGCCCTGCCTTGTTACCAAGTCTTTGGCAACATTTTAATTACACTTATCCTATTGCTCTTGTTTGAAGCCAGATTTGAGAAATTGGGGGGTGAGGGACCGAGTTTTCAAGATTAAAAGATTAAAAACAAGAAAAAATTGTTTCTTAAATGCCTTGTGGGTTTTTTAAATTGTAATTTTAATTTGTTTAATTATAGTTGACATTCAATATTATATATGCATAGTAGTTAGGCATTTATATAACTTAAAAAGTGATTCCTCCCATAAGTTTAGTACCCAGCTGGCACCATGTATAGTTATTATAACAATATTAACTCTATCCTCTATGGTGCTGTACTCTATATCCCCGGGGTTATTTTGTAACTTCTTAATCCCTTCACCGATTGAATGCTTTATGCTAACATATCCCATTTGTTTCATCGATAGCATCTATAGAGAGTTACAGAATTCAGTATTCTAAGGCACTTAGGCTGGGACCTTGTTCCTGCCTAAGTGTCCAATAAATATTGATGACAATGAAAACCCTCTATTTAATATTTTTCTTGAGAATCACATAGTGACAATCTCCTAAGTTGACAATTGATCCCTTGGCCATTGAAGTGGGAATGTGGTGTGTGTGTGTGTGTGTGTGAATGTTTACTGTGTGCTAATAAGCACATTACACTACTGCACGTTGAGGTATGTACTTTCATTATCCCTGTTCTACATATGATGAACTGAGGAGTAGAAATATAACTATCCAAGGTTACCTAACTAGTAAGCAGCAGGGCCATAATTTGGATTCTGGCAGTCTAACTCTAGCACCTGCCCTCCCAGTAAAAAGATAATTAGAAATAACACCCCTAATCTCTTACCTCCACAGAGTAGTTTTAAAAGCATTTGCTATTGCATTTGTTCCTCAAAACTCTAGTAGGTTGATAAGTTAGTCATTGTTATTCCATTATACAGGTGGCAATACTGAGTTACAGAAGTTACTTGCTCAAATTTATATACCTAGACACTGTCTTATCCCAGACTTTTTTGAGTGAGATACAGTGCTTCACATTAAACCTATAATTAATAATTATTGATACCTACAGCCTGGCTAAAATTTTGTTTGACTTTAAATTTATGTATGCTATATATATTATATAGATGAAAACCATTGATATAATTTCAACGATGAAATTATACTTTATTATATATTTAATGAATCACCTTTCCTGATAAATTAACTGCACAAAATTAATTTTTAAAATTCAATATGTATATGAATACTTGAATAATAAAATTTCTTTATTGTAAATTTGGTTTGTTTGTTTTTTGTTTTAATTTTAATGTTTTTGAAAACATGTCTTACAGTCAATTTTTATATTAATATTTTTATCCTAAAAAGCAATTGTAATGTTGTAGTTTAAAATTGATAGATCTTAAGGAAACAGTCTTTGAAATATAAACATACAAACTACTGAAAAATCTGGAGTAAATAGGTCATCTGGGAAGTATGAATGAGCTTGTGAAAGTTTGCCACATAGTAAAATTTTGAGAAAAAATTTCTTGGGAAGGAAAATGATGAGGATCACAGGTTGCACATGTCACACTCAAACAAAACCTTTTTTAATAACATGTCATATGCAATTTTAGAGACAATAACTTGAAGTGTCACTAGATGGCACTATTATCTTGGTTCTGTAGTAACCTAGTCCTTAACAAGTTAAGCGCTAAGCCTGTTTTGTCTTCCTTTCCTTTCAGTCACCGGTAATTGACATGGCGCTTAACGTGTTAAAATAAACTTCAGGGGGATAAAGCATGAATAGGATATGTAGAGAGCACTAGTCTCAATAATGCTGTAACTTTGTCATTGATAACAAAGTCTATTGCAGCGGCATTTATACAATTTCCTGAACCCTAAAATGCAAGAAGCAATCCTTTTACAATGTGTATTCATTCCTTCATTCACTTACAAATATTTATTGTCTGCAAAGTACTGTGATCTCAGTGATGATGCTCTGGTTATTTTCACGCAGAAGTAAGGACTTTTGTTGAAAATGGCTTTGTTCCCATAAGACCTGAGTCTGCCACTTACCGAGTGTGTCATCATGTGCAAGTCACTCTTACTATCATCACTTCTATTTCAGAGATGAGAAGACTATAGCACAGAACCAATGAATTTACATGAAATGTTTTATAAATCATTCTACCTATATGAATATTAATATTCCTTCAAGAATGTTGAGAACTATTTCTGCCTCTACCTACTCTTAGAAACACTATCAGAATAAAAAATGAAGTAGACAGGTCTGAAGTGTTTTGGCAGAAGGATACTTGAAGCATGCCGTGGGGTGTGTATGAATGGGTGTGTTTAAATATTTTAAAAAATGTTTCAACCTATCTTGCAGGAAGCCAACCTAATCTTTTATGAGTACCACTTCCACGGCAGTTGATTTTGCTCCCAGCACACAATACTGCCTTTCAGAGTCTCCTTCTGAATAAACATAATGCCACTGCATATTTCCTCATGGACATTGCTGACTAGCTCAGCAGAAATACAACTTTATTCACATTTTGTAAGAATCTGAGTATAAATTGACAATGGCTTGTTTTAGGAGGCTGTGCTCGTACTTTTCTCTAGTAATCTTTTGATGTGTGATCTCTTTATTCAGTTCTCACTCTTTGAGGTGAATGTTGTGTTCTAGGATTGTGGGAGATACGAAGATTCTGA